ACATACATTAAATTATCCTGTCTTAAAAAGAAAATTCAGATTCTGACACCTGCTACAACTTGCATGAACCTTGAGGACATTATCTGAGTGAAACAAGCCAGTCACTAAAGAACAAATAGTGCACAATGAGGTACCTAGTAATCAAATTCATAGAAATACAAAGTAGAACAGTAATTGCCAGGGGCTGGGGAGAGAGAAAAAATTGGGAGTTAATGCTTAATTGGGTGCAGTTCTGGAGATGGATGGTGGTAATGGCTGTACAACATTGTAATGTGCTAGATGCCACTGAACTGCATGCTCAAAAGTACCTAAAATGGCCAACTTTAAGTTGATGACCCTCATACACTGTTTGGGAGATTAGTGTGAAGGGGTGGGAAATTCCCTCCATCTCATACATTGGTTAGAAAGGTAGAAGGATTATACCTTCTAAATTCATTTAAATTTAGAACACACTTTCTTCTCTAAACTTATAATAGTTCAACTTCCTATTTGTGGGGTGAAAATTTTGGCTAGTTATATTGACAATTATGAGGTGTGAAGGATTATCTCCTACTGTGATTTTTAATATGTCACAAATAATTCTGATAGAAGATGGTGTCTGCAGCCTAGATTTAATGATTTGTTTCTAATGAAAAGAATGTGACTTCTAAGAATAGGTAGGTCATAAAAGGCACCACACCTCACCTATCCCTTTTCTCAAGTCACTTGCTCTGGGAGACACAGCTGCCATGCTGCAAAGAAACTCAAGCAGCTGGCCAGGCCCGCATGGCTCAGTGGTTGAGCATCGACCTATGAACCGGGAGGCCACGGTTCGAATCCAGGTCAGAGCACATGCCCGGTTGAGGGCTGGATCCCCAGTGTGAGGCGTGCAGGAGGCAGCCCATCCATGATTCTCTCTCATCATTGATGTTCCTATCTCTCTCTCTATCCCCCTCTCCCTTCCTTTCTGAAATCAATAAAAATATATTTTTAAAGAAAGAAAGAAACTCAAGCAGCTGGATGGTGACATACACAAAGGCAAAAAGAACTGAGTCCTTCAGACAACAGCCAGCATCAACCTGCCAGCCAATGAGACCACCACTTGGAAGGAGATCCTCCAGCCCGTCAAGCCTTTCAAAAGACCCGGAGGGAACCCGAACCACTCAGCTAAACTGCCCCCAAATTTCTTACCCACAGAAACAATGTTGAAAAAATATTACTTTAAAAACTCACTCATTAAAAGGATATATATTTATGTCCACTGAAAAGCAAACTAATTTCTTTAGCTAGTATGCATGTGTAAAGGTAACTTCCTGATGATTTTTCATTTTTAGAATTTTTAAAAATCTATTTGCAAGTTCTGTCTTTCAAAGGAAACAACCTATTTAACTAGGAGGTTAAAACTCTTGTTCTTGCTAAAAAGATGCGGAAACTAGCAATTACTCGAAGGGATACAGAGCAAAAGCCTGTAACTGATGGGTGGGGCAACTGACAAAAAGGAAAAAAAGCAGATAAAAGTTAAAAAAAAAAAAAAAAGAGAGAGAGAGACCCAACCATTAAAGGTTTATCAGTAATTCTAACTTCGGTTTCTCGTGAGGGTTCTATTGAAAATTATGGACCTGATCCCCAGGAAAATATGTAAACACCCCTAAAATTACCCATTTCAGAGAATTCTCTAACTATACTGTCTCCCACACCCACCCATGCAGCCAAAAAGAATTCATGTTGGAAATTCCTGACACACAAAACACTGGGAGGGAAGGAGAGACAGGGACCGCATCTCTTTCCAACCTACTTTCCCTAAGCATGTCAACTACACAACCTAAGGGCTGCTAAAGTGACAAAACGAAAGGCTGTACTTCAGATTCTCTGGCCACAGGAGAGAGGAGGGGGAAAAGAGAATGGAACTAAAGGCAAAAAGGTGAGTTAACAGGTGATTTCCTTGGCCAAGGACCAAGCTAGAATAATAAATGAAACTGGAAATGAGGAGGCAGGGCCTGAATAAGTATGGCAGGTCATGCAATTAAAAGCAACAAGAGCCCTAGCCGTTTTGTCTCAGTGGATAGGTTGGCCTGCGGACCAAAAGGTCCCGGGTTCGATTCCAGTCAAGGGCACATGCCTGGGTTGTAGGTTCGATCCCCAGTAGGGGGCGTGCCGGAGGCAGCTGATCAGTGATTCTCATCATTCATGTTTCTATTTCTCTCCCTCTCCCTTCCTGTCTGAAATCAATAAAAATATTTAAAAAAATAAATAAATAAATGCGCCCTAACCGGTTTGGCTCAGTGGATAGAGCGTTGGCCTGCAGACTGAAGGGTCCCAGGTTCGATTCCGGTCAAGGGCATGTACCTTGGTTGCCGGCACATCCCCAGTAGGGAGTGTGCAGGAGGCAGCTGATCGATGTTTCTCTCTCATCAATGTTTCTAACTCTCCATCCCTCTCTCCCTTCCTCTCTGTAAAAAAATCAATAAAAATATATTTTAAAAAAAAGAAAAAAAAGAACTAAGGCCAAAAGAGGTTACGTGAATATACAAGGTCACATGGGCCCTTTTCTAGATATTCCAAATCCTAAACCAAAAACCTTTCTAACTCCCAGACATTCCTCACTTTCTGCATCACTGCCCTTACCTGGATCTAAACTGTCACCTAAACATTCTCATCAAAAATTAAACAGAAAAGGTGGTTGCATCAAATACAATTAGATAATTTGGCCTGAGTTTAGGTTCTATCCTCACTCGCTAATTTTACTTTCAGACTAGAGATTTCCATCCTTATTCCCTTCTCCTATCTATAACTCCCTAAATTTTATTTTCTTCTTTCTGTTCACTCCTGTTCTTTCCTTATTGTTTCCCATTAGTCTTATTTTCCTACTAGTCCTCCCTTTCTCAATTCTAAAGTGTCAACAGCTATAAACACAAAAATCCATGTAGTAATCTCAATTCAAAGCCAGAGAAAAAGTAAAACAGTTAACATGCATTTAGCTCCAAACCTGGGCAAAGAGGCAAGGGTGCATGAGATCTCAATATAACCTGACCCCACATGTTAATACTTTGCTAACCCAAGTTATCACTCATAGCTACTAACAACAGCAAAACCAACACAAGTTTCTCTTCTATCTTTTAGCTTGTCTCCAAATAGCAATCAAAACTAACTACAAAGAAGCAGCATATGAAAAGAAAAACAAAAATATCAGGATAATGCACAAATAAAATTGAGTTAATAAAGTAAAACCCACAAAGCAGAGTTAAGTATGGTACAATGATTACTAGTACAAGCATGGGGCTTGGAGAGTTGGTCAAGATGCCAATCTATCCTTGGCCCTAACCAAGTTAACTTTGCCCGTCTCAGTCTCCCTAAATATTAGTTTTCTCACCTATGCCACTGTAATAGTACTTTTCTCATAGGATTATGCTAATTAAGATATACCATGTAAAGTACAAGGCAAACACATGACACAATCACCATCTACAAATGTTAGCCATTGTGATTGTTATTTTTAGACCTATAGTTTAGGCACAAGAGAAAAAAAAGGAAAAAATGGGATAGGAGAAAAAAAGGTACTTATGGGGGGGGGGATAAGCAGCAGCCCAGTCACTGTTCCAATAGCTACCAATACTATAGATTTCAATGCCCAGAAAATATTTATCAAAACAATCAAGTAAGGCCCAGCTGAGGTAGACCTGTGAACCAGGAGGTCACAGTTCCATTCCTGGTCAGGGCACAAGGGGGCATGCAGGAGGCAGCTAATCAATGAGTCTCATTGATGTTTCTATCTCTCTCTCCCTCTCCCTCTCTGAAATCAGTAAAAATATATTGAATTAAAAACAAACAAACAAAAAACCACCATTCAATCCCGTAAGATAAATATTAAAAAATAATTCATGCCCTAGCTGGGTAGCTCAGTTGGAAAGAGCTCCATCCTGATACACCAAGGTTTCATGTTCAAACAGGATCGGAGCACATACAAGAACCAAGTAATGAATGCATAAGTAAAACAACAAATTCAATGTTTATCTCTCTCTCTCTCCCCACCCCTTCCTCTCTCTCTAAAAATCAATTTTTTTAAATAAAAGGTAATTCACTCACCAAAAAAATTCTATTATGGCAACTAATATTCACTTTTTAAAATACATTTTATTGATTTCAGAGAAGGAGGGAGAGAGAGATAGAAACATCAACAATGAGAATCATTGATCGGCTGCCTCCTGCACGTCCCCTACTGGGGATGGAGCCTGCAACCCGGGCATATGCCCTTGACCAGAATCGAACCCTGGACCCTTCAGTCCACAGGCCGACTGCTCTGTCCACTGAGCCAAACTAGCTCGGGCGGAGCTGAGATCTTAAGGAATAATTTGAAATAAAACCACTTCAACAAGTTTAAAAAACTTAATTTCTGCCCTGACCTGTTTGGCTCAGTGGATAGAGCGTCGGCCTGCAGACTGAAGGGTCCCAGGTTCGATTCCGGTCAAGGGCACGTACCTTGGTTGCGGGCACATCCCCAGTGGTGGGTGTGCCAGGAGGCAGCTGATCGATGTTTCTCTCTCATCGATGTTTCTAACTCTCTACCCTTCTCCCTTCCTCTCTGTAAAAAATCAATAAAATACATTTTAAAAAAATAAAAAACTTAATTTCTATGATAGATTCAAATGTTAAAACTTATGCCTTAAAACAAGCTACTTCTGAAATAGCATATTAAAAACCAAGCTCTATAAGATTTTAAACATGAATAACTTTTGGGGGTTTTTTCTACCAATCTAGGAATCCATAAAGCCTAAGGTGAATAATAGCCATATGTACCTTCTTACTTTAGGAGCACAAAAAATTAAAATTTGGACTGTTTGATCTGAAATAGCCTTAAACCTTAACTCCTTCCGCATTTAAAATTAATAGTTGTTTTCAGATTGTCCAGAGCAATATTATTGGGAGACACTGAAAGGTTCCAAGAATAACAAAGGCTACATTGACCCTTACTACATTTTACAAATGTCCATTTGACATGCTCACCATATATAGACAGTACTTACAAATTCCAACAGGACCGCACAAGAAGGTGTTGGGCTTTTCTCTGTGATCTTTGTGTTTTCCAGTTTGTTTTTTTATTTTGTATCCTCTGAAATAAAATCCAAGTTCTTTGAAGATACTTAACCTATGACTATTTGACATAGAGTTACTTCAGGTCAGCTACCCATACTTCAGGTTTAAAGTTTTCATATGGCTACCTCCAGATTAGCCAAGTTCCTGGGGTTTAAGGTGATCAAGTCTTCTTTATTATTCCATGTACTTGTCAGTGTTGTACTTATCCACTCGAGATGAAATATCCAATTTATGACCCAAAAAGCAAAAACAAAAAGAAAGCTTCACATCGGAAGAGCATTCCTGAGCAGCACTCGGAGACACAGCTATCTCAGCACGACCACGCTGCTGGGAAGCGGCACCATCTTAGGTTTCCACGTAAATAAAAGAGAAAAGGAAAAAAGCGGGTCTCCTTCAGTGTCTTCATTTAGAGAAGCCGCCCCATTGTGACACGCACGGGGCTGAGGTCAGAAATTCCCACAAGTTTTAAGGAGAATAAGCTGCCAGGGACCTTCGGCACGATTTCAACAGGAATCGGAAACTTCCGAAACTACCCGAGGCACGAACCGAGCATCGCTTACAGTTTCGGCTGACACCACCACAGGGGTGGGGACGGCCACAAAACACACACAAACACACACAAGAAAACAAGCCGGCAGCTGAAGCCCCGGAACCGGTTATATAATCCGCGGGAGCCACGCCGTGAGGACCGCCGGGCGCCCGTCTCGGCAGCGCGCGGAGCTGTTCGCTTCAGAGACGATCCTCGCCCATTCAGCCAACTTCTGGGGCAGAATGACCCGAAAGCAGCACTGTAATTCCAAAATGGCCACTGGGAATCCCGGGCCCCACACCCTAGGAGAGGATCTTCACACCTGAGCGACGGCGATCACCTGGAAAAGTTGTGTAAAAAAAACAAACAAACTTGCATTACCCGGAGGTGTGCGGTGGAGAGCGGGGCCCGGGAG